AAAATTAACAAGGGAAAGCTTTCCGAATTGTAATTTATACAATTTTGACCAAGTTATGATCGATCGAAGTTCAAAAGATTGATACCATTGCAAACTACAAAAGTTTAATGTTAACTATATATTTTGTATATATATGATTTATATTATATTTAGACATCTTCCAATAAATTATAGTCGCAAACCGTTAAAGCCTTTATACAAATAAGTAAAGACTTGTTGATAAATATTTAAAAATATTTTTTAGCCATAAGTAACAAACTGCTTTACTGTAGTTTCCATTTCCATTCCAAGTGCATTTGAGAATGGCGCAGAATGTTGACTTGGGTGGGTTGGATGCCTCAAGAGTCTGGTGTGGCTGGTGTGGTGCAAGGCGATGATTATGTTTACGTTGCGCCACCGCGTCGTACGATGCCGCTAATGTGGAGCACGTCCCGGCCAAGTCACGTCACCTTGGCGATGCGGGGAAGTCCCGGCGAAGACAATGACAGCAGAACGCATCGGGAAACGAGATCACGTCTGGGGACCGTGCGAGATTTCTTGCAATTTCATATGGCTTGCTATCGGGGAACTATCTTTCAATTAAATTCCAATGCAGAAGGACTCCTGCCCCTCGCCCCTTCTCTTTGTATCCCTCCTCCTCCGTGTCATCCTTCTCATCCTTCCCCTTTTTCCAATCAAACCCGGAAAACTAATTTCCCCCTGGGGGACCAGCACTCTCGCTTTGTTTAAACTTTTGCAATAATAACTGCTGAAATATTGCAGAGTAGAGAAGCTCGCCTGGCACCTTAATTTGATTACAAAATTGCCAAGCATCGTGCCGGGCGATGAGCTGGGAAATATTTTCATTGCATTTTTGCGCTTGTCGCGTATCATTTTAAGCTCTTTTACATAAATTTTCCCCACCATAAACAAATATTTTGCCGGTTTTTGGGGATGCTTTTGCTGTTACTGTTGCCTGCTTTGTCGCAGTTTTCAACTTCATTTAATTTAATTTATTTTTCAGCAGTTCGGCTGGGGAAATTTATGTAACAACTTTTTGGCTGCCGTTGGTGGCGTTGTTATTTGAAACTAATTTGCATAAAACGAACGTCAAGTGTTTTCGCTTACCTGACACACATATGTCCTGCTGCGCGAGGGGTCCTTTTGTTGAGCAGGAGCAAGAGCAACAGGATCGGTCAACTTGCCATAAATTGCCCCTTGATGACTCTTTTGAAAAGGGCACAAAGCCGAGAGACTGCGAATCGCAATTCGATTTCATTTTATGGCGCATAAATTATTCAGAGTTTGTCTATAGTCTATAAAATGTTGAGCTTCGTTGAGCCAGCACTAAACAGGACATCATTCTGACCCCCGGCCACTGGCAAGGAGCAACGACTGACCTTGTATCCTATCCCTTTTTTTCTCAGCTTTTTCTTGCTTTTTTCTCTAAATAGACAATTTGCCCATCTTTACGCACTATTGTTTTGTATTCTCGGGGCGATGCCTTTCCTCGTTTCTTTTCTTTTGGCTGGCATAAAAATCAGTTTAGTCCTGCGACAGCGCCTCGATTTATGCCAGAGTCCTTTGTATCCTATTTCTTCTTGTTTCTTGTGCTTGCTTGTGTTTTGTGTGCTGCCAACATTTTTACGACTAAATCGAGAGAGAGAAAGAGCCACAAAACGTTACGGCAAATCACTTTTCAGCTTCAACTTTTTCCCAAGCTCCCAACATACATACATAACATAACATGTATGGGCATCGTTTAAAAACAATTTGAGCTTAAAGCGACCATCGAATACAATGTTGTTGATTGTCTTTAAGGAGTCGCACAATGAATAGTAAAATCCACAGCTTTGGGTGTGGAGTGAGAAAAAAAAACGTGCCTTCTTCTTGGATAAATTCAATTTAATTTCCATTGGTTTTTAATCCATTTAAGATGTTCTCTGCCTTGGCTCCGACTTATTGAAACTGCAGCCTCATTGTTTGCCCTCCGAGCATTGCACAAAAACAAACAGCAATGATATTGCACTTTTCGGTATTATTTGCCAAAAGCAAAAAGGATAAACAAGTCGGAAGAAAGAAAAGTGATTGAGTGGCTCCAATTAGTTGCTTCTAACTGAAAGATTTTTATCATAAGCACTAAGATTTCTGAGAGAAAAATACATAATAGCATCAAATAATAAAAAGAAACTCAAGTTAATTGGAGTTTTAAAGCAGTTGAACTGGTTTAAAAATAAGGAAAAATTGTTATTTACTCGTAAGCAAAATATTAGGTTATGAAGGATTTAAAATACAGATAAATATTTAAACAAATATTTATGTTGCTTTTCAGATGAGTTCAGATTTAAAATGAATTTGATTGGTAACTATATACAAATTTTAAAGGTATACATTGTAAATTAATTAAATTAATTTCAAAATTAACAACAAGTTTGCTTTTGCAACAACTATAGAATAAAAATTATATATATTAACTTATCATATTTACAATTGTTATTTACAACTGTTAAATGTTTATTACCTAAGAACTTCATTGCTCAATTCAGCAAGTTTTACAGAAAATATAAACAAAGTTTTAAGCTGCTAAATATATGCAATTCCATATCAAATATTTCGGCAATCGCTTGACAGGCGGCATTAGTACCATAATGTATGAATAAATAAAATTTAATTTTACATAAAACTGACAACAGTCCCCAGTTAGTTGTATGCCAGACAAAATGCAGGACCAAAACGAGGATAAATTCCCTGGGAAAGTATGAAGAAAGGAAACTTGGCAGGCAGGGCAGGGCAGGGAAGGGCTGGCGGACAGAAAGAAAACAGTTTTGTTTGTTTGCCCGCTCGTCGTGTGGCATATTTGAGCGTATTTGCACAAAATACGTGAAATTACGCGAAAAGTTCAGTCTGCTCTCGTGTCCTGCCAACTGTCCTTGGGCCCCTGCTCCTTCCAAAATACAAGAAAAAATAAAACGAAAGAAAACTTGAACGAGCGATGGGAGCTAAGTGCCTGCGAAAAAGATGACTGGGTTGCCTTTGCATTTAATTTCGATGTCAAACGGTGGCTTAATCCCCAGGGACCACCGGTCGTATGCGCAATATTTTTTATGCGAACTTGTCCTTTGTTTAATCTTTGGCGCGCGCATTGAGTGTTTCCCTTTGCCATTTCACTTTATAAGCGAATTATTAATGAGCTCCTTGCCATATAAGTTAATAATCCGCTGAGCGTTAAAAACAAAAAATAACAGAACCGAACACTTTATGCCCAAGCCAGAGCGGAAATCTCATTTGTCATGCTGCTGCCTGGCCATTTATCAGTTGGCATTTAAAAAGCCATTAAAACCGAATCCGGCAAAAGAGAAATTGAAAAAAAATAAAATGTAAAAAGAAAAAAGAAAAAAAAACTGTATGCAAAAAAGGAATCCTGCCATCAACGAACCTTGAAGTCGAGTCCTGCGAGTCGCCGAACCTGTTCCAGTTCCAATTCGATTCATAATTTAAAACCCGGCCAGCCGACCGAGTCAGACCAATAAATTAATATAAAAATTCCTCACGCCCAGCCAATAAGTGAACATTGAAGCGTTTTATCGCTTCGTCCAGACTCGCAGGATGCGAGCAGGATAACAGCCAGGAGACAGGGACAGGACGAGCCCACGCAGCGACAGCGGAGGCGACTTCTTGAGATCGTGAGATGTCTGAGATGCCGGCACACTCGAGCCGTTTGCTTTGGACTTGGAAATTGGAACTTGGAACTTGGGAAAGAGGAACCTGGGAACGCAGGACCTCTTTCCATGCCTCCACCGGGGCCATTGTCGGCCACTTGGCCAGACATTTGTGGTATGCGCAAATAGAACATGGCATAAAACGGTCGAGGGAGAGCCTTCTCCCCTCGCAACTCGTACAAAGCCATTAAACATTTATGGCCACGCGGAGGTGGTCGAGGCTCGAGAAAGGAGCAGAGCCTAGGATCCTTTGGTTATTTCATTGTCTGCAAATAAATGTAACAAGTCAAATAGCTACGCATACCAATTGCCGGTGCTTTAGCTATGGGAAATTGTTAACCGACTTCATTTTGTATTTAACCATGGTCGTTCGAAGTTTGTTTTGCTTGCTAGAGTTTGATTTAGAAGAGAGAAGAGGGGAAAGGCAAGGATGCAAGTCTCATCTCCTATTTAATATTTAAATGCAACTTTAATATCTCTACTTGTTTCCTAATTATAAACAATACTTAACTTGTGATAAATTTGGTAAACGTTTAGCCACAGACTCTCACTCCGCAGGACTCTTAAATCTAAAGACTTCACTTCTCTGCGTTAAAAAGTCAAGAAAGGAAGCTTTTGCATGTGACCGGGAAAAGTGTACAAAAGTCCGGAGAGGTAACCTGCGGTAACCGGCAACTTTGTTAATGGTTTTGTCATAAATTTTAATTCGATTGCATCAGAGCAGACGCCGGGGCTGCCATTCAAACTGGGCATGAAAAATGCATTAGTCGGTGCAGTTTTCAGGACTCCAGGACTCCAGGACGTCGAGGAGCCAGAGGCAAAAGTTTTTGATGGTGCGGTTGCCCACGGAGACTGGCTCCATACACACACACTCACACTCACACACACAAGGCAAACCGCAGACACAGTCTGTTGTTTGAAGACTCAATTAATTTATGCAGTGTGAAGTAAAGTTTTCGGCTATCTGGGAAAGCCTTAAAATTGCATTTAAAAGGAAGCGAAAGGAGGAAAGATGCGAAAAGGAAAAGGAGCTGAGCTGCCCTCAATTACAGTGCCGGAAATGCGCTCAATTAATGAATTTTAAATGCATTCTCATTGTCACTTCCGCAGGCAGTCAGACCTGGGCCTGGCACACGCTGCGTATGCGTAACGCGTTATTTGCCAGTCAACCGCCAAGCCAAGTCTGTCAGGCGGGGCCTGGGACGTGGCAATCCGCGGCTGATGAAGGATAAAGGACACTGCGGCACCATTATCTCCACTGTGAGGCCTTCAGCCAGCACATCAGTCTGTCCATGAACAACGTACAGTGGAACTAGGAGCGAACTTTATTTGCAACTTTAGTGGGAAAAACAAAATGAATCGTAAATTTATGGCTAATTTTTTGAACTACTATTTCTTTTTATCCTTTTCATCTTTGGGCTCTGGTTTCTTGTCGTCCTTAGCCTTCTTAGCTTTTTCTTCTTTCTTTCCTTTGTCTGCTTTCTTATCCTTAACTTTACTCTTAGACTTGGCGTCCTCTACCTTCTCATCATCTTTGTCTTTATACTCGGGTCTTTAGAAAATAGTTGTATCCTCAATTAAAATAAAAAGTTAATAAATTAAAAAAAAAACTTACAAATCGTAAATGGAAATGGGATCAATCTCGAAATCGGGCAATTTGAATTTGGGAAATTTAAGTAGGTCGACTCCTTCGCCTCCACCATAGCGAAAGGCCAATTTCTCGAGGGCCTCTTTCAGTTCTTCATGGTACTCAGGAGTTGGATCGATGGGCTTGCCCGTGGGGCTCTTTAGACGGTACTCCCGCACCTTGTCCAGAAAGGCCTGGTAAATGGGATCCTTGGACATACCTGGTGGTTTGTCACAAAAACAACGACGCCAGGCGACACTTGATTTAAGGATTCGAGGAAACATTATTAGTTTTGAGGAGGTGTTATGAACTCTCGTTTCGTTTGCTTTTTACGTGGCTAATTTTATTTGAGAGAGTGTTTTATCTATTGCTACTAGATATATATTGATATATATTTCATATTTTAGTTTTGTATTAAGAAACCCCAAGAAATATCCTTCCTAGTTCGAAGGACAAACACATAAATGCGACCATCTTCCACAACTGTAGATTAAGATACCTTCAAGCTTCAGATAACCTTAAATATATAAATAACCAACTATATCTATCCTGTATATATATCCTCTTTACAGACTTATTATCAAATTTAACCCACTGTACCTTGTGAAAGGTAAATGCGTGCATTGCCTGTAAAAGCCAGAAGGCGCCCACATTAACTACAAGGATAATGTCGCCCCGGCTTCTGTCCACCCGCTGGTTGCGGCATGAAAAAATAACAAGAAAATGCCTGGCATCGTTCATTACGATCCTGGGCTGCCTTCAGCCCTTTAGCCAGGTGCGTTGCCAGGATGAGACACGGGGGAGAATCAGCATGAGCAGGAGCAGGAGCAGCAGGATGACGATGAGCAAGCGCAGGAGCTGCGGAGACGAGCGACAAGACAAGACATCCGAAATGTTTTATTGTTGTAACTGTCGCCCGGCGGCATAATATATAGTCTGGGACATATCCTGGAGCGCGATATCCTTCGCCGCTGACACAAATCACATGCAACCTTTGGTGCCCCTTTAGCTTCAGGACAGGACTCCAGGACGAACGAATGAATGAAGTGGGGACGAGTGCTGGGGTTTCTTTTTTGGTGGCGGTCGTACGTGCGGGACATGCTCCTCCAAATTATGTAAGCTTAAAGGGGGTGTCCTGAGTGTCCTTTGTCTGCGTTTGTCGTCTTCCGTTTTAGCAAATGTTTTGTTAGCGCCACCGCCACAGCCGCCCCCTTTCTCGAGGAGCTTGCAAAAATCATGCGGAAGCGGAAGCGACAGGAGGAAAACCACAATTCGAGGGTGTCCGGTGTGAGTCCCGCATCCTGTGTGAGTGTGTGTCATGAGTGGCACGTGTCCCATATATATATATGTATATATATCCACCTGACCACTTTGTCATCGGCTTGAATTAGGACTATTCAATTTTCATTATTAAATAATGCCTCGGCATTGATGCGGACGTGCCCGGGTGCTTGCCGAAAATTAAATGCACATCGGAATTTATGAGCCTCGAAGACCGAATGACAAATAGTGCGTGTCCCTGCCTTTGCCAGGACTCTCCACTGAAGGTGAAACTGTAATTAAATTTGTTTCAAATTCAGCTGCACATCCTGGCCCATAAATCTGGTCCTAATCTATGCCAGCGCCAACATGAAATCCTGAATATATATATACATACGCCCCCAAAAACTGAACTCCTTGCGTCGCAGCGATAAATCAAAACCAAATTCACATAATTTTTATCGTTTTGCACAATTTTGCATATAAAAGCACACACAATCGAGTTGGCTCGCTTCGGTTTTCCAGTTAAACGTTTCAATAAAGTCGAGCACCTGTCAATAAATCGAAATTGCCTCTCGTATTATTTTTATCGGCTACGTTTCGTTTACATTGCACAAGATGCTTCACTTTCAGTGATGCCACCGGCCACGCCTTACACAGATATATGTATCTGAAAACGATATATATCTAAGAAAACATTGGAAAAATTATCCTTTCAAAGTTTGAGTTTAAATATATCAAAACAATTGAATCAAAAACTGCCTATAAATTATTCCAGAAAACCAAATAAACTTGCAAGTGCTGTCATATATCCCTATGCCCTATAATTTCTTTCTAAATTTCTATTTCTCCCAGTGTAACTGATATATACACACATTTAGCTCTAACCCACAGACATATGCCTGTATCTGTATGTGTAGGAAAAGCGGAAAGGCGACCTTAGCTATCTCTCACCGCCTCGCCATCGCCATCGTCCTCGTCATCACCATCATCTTCTTCCAGTTGAGCGAGTCCTGCGGGTCTCCTCCTTCTCCACCGTACATACGTCCTGCAATCTCTCCTGTGGTTTCCAGTTCTCTGCTTTGCCAGGTCTTGTGCTTTGCCATCTGGGTTGCCATCCTCAGCTTTGTCTCAGCACACTTGTCGTCTTATTTTTTTGTAGATGGTCGAGTTCCGTTTTAATTCAGTTTTCGGCAATCGAATTGTGGACAGTTTTCATGGCTTTAATTACTGGGATAGGATCTGAAGGTCTTTGAAGTTCCGTCTTTAATTTTAATCCACTTGCGCTTAAAAGCGACCGAGTTTTACCAAGTACCCAAGCATTTTTACGACTGCGCCTGCCTTATGAAAATTTAATAAGCCCGGGAATGAGGCAGGACTCCTGCTCCTGCTCCTCTGAAGAAATCGCATAATGAGAGTGGCAGCCAGGCAGCACAAAAAAAAGAAGCTATATATAATATATATATAAACAAAATCGGAACATGTCAGGGCATTCGTTCTCTCCTTTTCATTCAAGATTCCCAGCTCAGAATCCGACTCCTTGGACACCACACCCATGTCCCCAAACCCACCCACATATGTCATGTAAAAAGATTGTTTAACAAGCAAGAGAGCACTAGGGGAAGGGGGAGGGGAGGAAAGCTTAAAAATGAAATGCGTTTCTCGTTTTCACATGGCTGACATCGGATAGGTCACAGTGGGGTCAAAAAGTCACAATTATAATTAATGAGTGAGTAAGGAGCGAAAGAATTACAAAGGGACTAAGGTTTACTAACATTATACTTAATTCCTTTAAGTTTAATACAAAGTTTTAGTTTAGATAAATATATTTTTAATTAGGAAAAAGGGTTTTGCATAATTTCTTATGTTGATATTAAATATTTTACAATTTCAGAAAAGATTTTGTGGCCCAACTCTTCTTACAGAAGCAAGAGCCTTTTTAAAACAAATACTTTCAATAGTTGCTTCAAAACTTCCCCCAAAAAAGTCCCCAAAAAATAATAATATTTCCAAATCTTTACAATACTTCTTCAAGTTATTCTTAGAAAGATTTAGGTCTCAATAAAAATCCCTTAAAAAATAATCCATCACTTTTTAGCCCACTGTCTCCTCCTGTATCGTCCTTGTGCGAGACGTTGCTCTCGTTGGTGCCAAGCCAACAAACAAGCGAAATATTATTTACGAGCTGTCAAATCCCAGTTAACATGCCTTCTACAAGGACCAAGGACGTCTTCAATGCGTACGTATTTGTGTGTATAAGTGTGTGTGCCTGCGCACACGTATTTGTTTGCTGCGGTCGCATAGTTCGCTAAGAGACAGCTGAAGATGCGCTGCCACAGTTACAGATACAGATACAGATACAGATTAACAGCTACAGATACAGGAAACACTGAGTGAAAAAACAAATTGTATAAATATTATATTTTAAATACCATCAAGAAAGGAAAGGAAATCGTAAAAGGAACATAACAAAGCTTAAATTATGCTCACAATTCAAAATTTAAAAAACGCCTTATTAACTATGATCAGTAAGTATCTAAGAACAGTAAGTATCTATGATCTGTAAGTATCTACGACCAGCAAGTACCTATGACCAGGAAGTATTTATGACTTTGAACACTAATAAACAATGACTTGCAACTTTTATAACACAACACATTTCTGAGACTTGGCCGGGAGCAGTCACTTCGTTCCCGGGATGTTTGAACCAGTTGAGAATCATATGCACAGATGTGCGAGATGTGTTTTGGAACAAATTTAAGCTATTTGATGGAAACTAAGGAGTTATTGTTCTATTTAATTTTACTAGTATATAAGTCAGAGCATGTCGAATCGGTGGACTATATATATACATATATATATATAGCTGTCAAAGGCACGAGCGAAAAATTTAAAGAAAAATATTATAACTTTTCCGAAGTGCTTTCTCTCTTGTTTTTTAATCGTTAATTTTGTGTTATTTTTTTCAACAAATCAATGTTTAAAAAACTCATAAATAAGTCAAAAATGCGTTAATTTTAATTCGAAATATTTTCCTATGCTAGTTTTTTGTAGTTTAACAAATCTGCATACCCAATTAAAAATGACAAAAAATTAAATTTTTTTGAATATTTTAACGAAAAAAAAAAATAAAATAAAAAATAAATAAATAAAATAACGAAATTAAAAATTTTCAAAAAATTTGTCAAAAAATTTTCTCTTCCTGCATGCCTAGAAATATTTGCCTGTTGATGCAGATCAAGAATATATATGGTTTATAGGGTCGGAAATGTTTTCTTCACTGCGTTCTAAGCTTCTGACTAAAATTAAATACGCTGCAAGGGTATAAAAAAGTTAAAATTTGTATGACTATTTATTCATATTTGTTAGGCAATAATCGAAGTTACTTTTACTATTTTGTTTTACAAAATATGTATAGTAGTTTCTAGATTTTTTTTTCAATTTTTAAGCTTTCTCTCAATATTTTCAGTGTACAAAAACAGCCTCACTTTGAGATACTCTTTGAGGCTCGACGCTGCACAACGCAAAAAAAAAGTGTGCCAGTCCGTCTCGCCGTAGTCAAATGACGGATCCTTGGATCCTTGTTTCCTTGCAGCGGACTCGAGCATAATAAAATAAAAAGCATAAATGAAACCGAGGCCGGGGCCACGAATATAATTTAAATTTATGTACTTGTGCGCGTATTTATTTGTGCGTTTGGCTTTTATTTCCTTCGTCTCTTGATTTGTTTGCCTCGCTCGCACTCCCGCCACTCCCACTTGTCCGTCTGCTTTCCCGACCGCTTTCCCTACCGCTTTCCCGCAGCAGAAAGCATTAAATTCAATTTGCTTATGTGAGTATCTGTGTGCCTGCCACTCAGCGTCAGTTACAGTGAGGAGGAGTAGAAGGCGGTGGCAAGGGCGGAGGTTGGGGGCAAGGCCATGCCAATGCCAGCGACCTGTTGTGTTGTTTAAGGAATTACTTAACATGGTAAAAGCATGTGTGTGTGTGTGAGTCCTGCTTATGCATGTATGTCCTTAATAAATATTTTGGTGCATACTTTTTTTGATTATTCCCTGGAACAGTCACACAAATGGGTAGCAAAAAATGAGGAAGGAATTAAAG